ACCTGGTGAGCTTATACCATGATGTGCACACAATGGGGCACCCAGGGCAGTGGAAAACCCTGGAACTCATCTCCCGTGACTACTGGTGGCCATGGATGGCAGAGTATGTCGGGTGGTATGTACGCAGATGCGACACCTGCAACCATGTCAAATCCTTCCCCTCTTGTAAAGTGGAGAAGCTCATCCTGAACAAGATCCCTGCCCACCACTGGCAAGTGATTTCAGTGGACATGATCGGAGAGCTCCCCAAGTCGAAGGGCTACAACGCTGTCCTGGTCATAGTGGACTGCCTATCCAAACGCATCCACTCAATTCCAACGGTGATGACAGTGGACTTGGTGGGGATCGCGCGGCTTTTCCTTGAACATGTCTGGAAGCACCACGGTCTCCCCAAAGAGATCCTCAGCGACAGAGGGAGCGCCTTCATCTCATGATTCTCGAAAGAACTCACGGACCTCCCCACCCCCTCGACGCCCTACCACCCCCAGACAGATGGACAGACAGAGAGAGTAAATCAAGAGGTAGAGGCTTACCTCCAGGTATTCATCAACCACCACCAAGATGACTGGGCGGACTGGCTCCCGCTAGCGGAGTTCACCTATAACAACTGCATCCACTCCTCCACCCGCTGAACCCCTTTTGAGCTCAACACTGGCCAACACCCCAGGATGGGGACAGAGCCCACATGCACATCCAAGGTAGAAGCTGCTGATGCCTTCTCATCGAGGATGATGAAGATGCAAGAAGAGGTGAAGGTGGCGCTAGAGCATGCAGCGGACAAGATGGCCCGCTACTACAACCAGAACCGTGAGGCGGCCTCTATGTACCAAGAAGGCAACCAGGTCTGGCTCAGCACCCAGAATTACACAACGGACTGCCCAACCAAGAAGCTGGACCATAAATGGACCAGCCCCTTCACAATTATTAAAGTCATCTCCCCCACTGCCGTCAAACTCTGGCTCACTGCCCAACAAAGAGGGATCCACCCAGTCATATCCGTGATGAACATCAGACCACACCGCCCCGACGAAATTGCGGAATGCCCCGCTGACCCCCACCCCAGGCCCAGACCTTGTAGATGGAGAAGAGGAGTACGAAGTCGAGAAAATCCTGGACTCTAAGTGGCTACGCTGAAAACTCCGGTACCTGGTAAAGTATACAGGCTGGCTGCACTCAGAAAACCAATGGCTCATGTGTGACCACCTAACCCACACCTCCGACCTAGTTGAGGAGTTCCATCAGATGCACCCCCACACCCCAGGAAGAGAAAAAGAGAACTGCCCAGCTGCTTCAAGGCAAAGCGGCTTAAGGGGGGGTGATGTCAGGGCACACCCCACCTGACCCTGCCCTGTGCTGCCCTACTCCGCTTCCCCTGCTATCACTCCCTGTTCCTCCTTTTCCCTTTTCTTTCTCTCTATTTCTGCTCCACAGTCGACTTCCCTTTTCTCTATGTATCATTACACACCTAACCCTGCTCCCCTGATCGCCACACCCGCTGTGCGCATTCCTGCCTACAGAGCAGCACACCTCCAGGATCTCCCGCAGAGATACCCAGGGAGGTGTGGCTGTGTGCAGAGATGACATGGCTCCCCCCACGTGACCCCAACCACATGTATAATAGCACCTGGGGTGGGAACAGAAGAAGCAGCCTTCTTCTCAACTTCCCACTTCAGACTAAGTGGTCGGGGATGCTCACCCCGTGACAGGACCGCTGCTATGCATAGCTGACACCTGTCCTATTGGGTCCCTCACGCCAGGACCTCACTGCTTTTGGAGCTGTCCCTGACAGTAAGGGGTTGGTGTAGGTGCCAACCCTGGTTAGCCTAGTTCCTCAGGCTGCCAACAAAAGTAACTTGTATGAAGTTATTGTTTGCAACAGTATGGGAGGAAAGGCTAAGTTGCTCTTTCCACTATTGTATGTACTTTGTATATACATGTTTATTACAAGACAATTATGTAATGGGAAATAAGGGGTGGGGTTACCACTCCTTACACTACGTCAACACTTCCCCTCAACCTGACATCTGCTCATTAGTCTAGTTCATGTACTCCATCCCTAGCATCAGGCAGAATCGATCATGCTTTACCCTAGCTAGTGACTTCATAGGAACATCAGTGTTAGAATGGGCGGAAACAGACGACTCCGGAGTGGAATCGGAGACTTAGCGTGGAGGGACCTTGGCCTCAGCGACTCAAGCGGAGCGCTGTGCCATTGCTGTTTGTCCATTTGGTCCTTAATTTCACAGTAGGTGAGCAGGAAGTCTCTTGGGGGCATTTCAGGTCGATTTCGGACTAAACCAAAACGAGTATGTACAAGCGCCGATATATATAATGGAAGGGGCAAAAGCACAAAGAGAACAAAGGGTGACCGAATCGGAACGAAGACGTCCGAACAGGAACAAAGGGTAGAGGGAGCGGAGCGGTACCGAAGGTCATGGGGCAAGACCTGTGATACGTCCGAAAGGAGGTAGAGAGGGCGAGGCCCAGAGGGGCAGGAGGATGAGGGGAAGTGGGGATGATGACTAACTGGCTAGAATAGAAAGAAGCAGTAGTCCAAATAGGGATGAAGGGAAAATGCGAGAAATACATTACAGGCGGCGAGAGCGCCGAAGGCAGTCCGCGAAGCTCGGGGGTTGCGGAGCTTACGGAGGTTACGGAGGCGGGGTTGGAAGTCCGAGGAATATTGGCAATGGTGTTTACGTAGTATGAGGTCACCAATGCAATGGACTAAGGCCGAGGTGGAGTCAAAGTCCGAGGTAGGGACTATGACGGAGGCTCGGAGTAAGGTACGAGCAGTGTCCGAGTGCGAAGTACGGAACAGCGGTGGAAGGTCGTAACTTGGCGGAAGGGTGGCGGAGGAGTAACGGAGGGAGGAGAGAGGGGACGGGTAAGGGGAGAAGGAGTGGCGGAAAGGAGAGTAGTCAGGTCCGAAGGTGAGTATCGGAGCGGACGGGGGAAGCGTAGGAGGATAACGGGAGGGTGGAGGTGTTGTGAAGGGGGAGCAGAGTAGTAGGAGGGTGGCGAGAGGGGTGGTGTTCGGTCCGAGATGAGTATCGGAGCAGACGGAGATAGGGTCGGGGAGGTAAGGAGGAGGTGTGTTGCCAGGACCGAAGGTGAGTATCGGAACGGCAGCGGTAGGTTATGACTCCGGAGGTGAAGAGGGTGGAGGTCCGGAAGTCGGGTCGGGGTCGTGGTATGCATGGATATGACAATCAGCAGCCATGTCATTGGTTCCAATGAGCTTGAGGTCAATGATGCCATCAGTGACACATTCTCTAATAAAGTGATACCAGACGTCGATATTTTTGGTTGCATTGTGATTGACAGGGTTCCGTGCGAGAAGGTCCGTGGCTTGGTTATCAATGTGCAAGGTCATGGGCTTCGTTGTTCCTTCATGAAGTTCATCGAGTAACCTTCTGAGCCATACCGCTTCTTTGGCTGCTTCCGCAGTGGCAACGTATTCTGCATGCATCAAAGATAATGCAACCATCATTTGCTGCTTTGACATCCAGGACACCACACCTCCTGAGAGGAGGAATGCATATCTGGAGACTGATTTGTGATTCAGTGTGTCATTGGCCCAATCTGCATCGGTATACCCAATCAGGTCTCCTCCCCTGGCCGTGTACATGATTCCTCGATTCGGGGTCCCCACAAGGTATCTCATGATGTGCTTGATCCCGGCAATGTGATCTTCACCAAATGTGGATGCAAATGAGGCCAATGCCCTTACAGATGTGCAGATGTCCGGTCAGGTCCCCAATGCAGTGTACATGAGTGACCTGATGGCTTCAAGGTAGGGGAATGAGGAAACTCTGGAGTGTTCTTCAGCCAATGCTGGCATGAATTGTGCTCCAGCTGGTAGTGGGGTGGTGGTGGGCGTACAGCCAGTCATTTTGTATTGAGCAAGTATATCTTTGATGTATTGCACTTGGTCAATGGATAGAGTTCCTGTGGCTATGTCTTGCTGGATGTGGATTCCAAGTATCCATGAGGCTTCTCTGTAGCTTGAGACTTTGAAGTGGGAGGCAATTGCATTCTGGATGGAAGAGAGCAGGTTCTCATCATTTCTGGCTAGAAGTTTGTCATCTACGTATACAGGAATCACAATTATTGAGGAGCCTCATTTGAACACAAAGACAGAGTGGTCAGCATGGGTCCGGTGAAAACCAAGGTGGACCAGGTAATCATGTAGTGTTGTGTACCACTCCCATCCTGCTTGCTTCAATCTGTAAAGGCCCTTCTTCAGCTTGGCTACCATGTGTTCCTTCCCCTTTTCCTCATATCCCTTCGGCTGTTGCATGTAAATATCTTCAGAGATCACCCCATTTAGGTAAGCAGATTTAATGTCCATCTGGTGAACCTTCCAGCCATGTCGAGCACAGATGGCTAGAAACACATGCAGAGAGGCAGATTTGACAACAGGGGAAAAAGCCTCGGAGTAGTCGGCCCCTTCATGCTGGCTGAAGCCTTGGGCGACAAGTCATGCTTTGAAACGTATGACTTTGCCATCTGCTCCTCACTTCTTCGTGAGCACAAAACAACAACCAATGATGTTCCGGATTGCAGAGGTCGGTTCCACTAGTTCCCATGTTCCTGCCTCCTTGATTGATGCAAGTTCTTCCATTACTGCCTTGTGCCACTGGCTGCACTCTGGTCCTGCTAGGGCTTCTCGGAGAGTCGGTGCATCAGGAAGGCCGGTGTCCTCAGGTAGGATGGGGTTGGTAAGGTGGGCTTTGTTGAGAGCAATATCCAACACGTCTTCAAGTTCAACTGTGGCAGCGATTGGTACTTCATTCAAGAGATCCTCATACACATTTGCAATTGTGTCCATTCAGTGACTGTAGGCTCCATAGGTTGATGGATCGAAGCATGGAGGGGGGTGACAATTTCTTGTTGGGCAGTCAGAGGTGGGTCGGGATGCAAGATCGGAGGGGGTTGTCATGGAGAGATCAAGTGGGTTGGCAGTTTCTGTAGGTCTTTTGCTTGCCTCCCCTTTCATGGTTTCATCCTCATCACTATCGGAGTCACTTACTGGTGATTTGAACGTCATTTGGGGATCTGCTCCCACCTCTTCCCTGAATATGGGTGCTTGGGTGATCTCAACTTTATGGGTGAGTGGGTCGTATGCTTTGTATCCTGCCATGTCTCTGGGATATCCCAAGAATTTCATAGGGTGGCCCCGCTCTCCAAGTTTCTGTGCCCCTAGGTCTTTTGGTCTATGGACGAACATGTCAGAGAACCATACTCGCATGTGGGAGATGTTGGGCTTATTTCCATGGAACCATTCGAATGGTGTCAGTGAGTCTGGGCGGTGTCATATCCCGGAATCCCGACCCCGCGTACTCCCACCACACCACACCTTCCTAACAACTTCACCATCCCCTACACCATGCCTCCCCACTCCCCAAGTCACCTTCCCTCCTGACTGTCTCAGCTCCGGTCTGGTTGCGGCACACCGAACCTTGGCCACTCCCATCCCGGAAGCTCGGTCCCGAGTTGGAACATTCGGAGACCCCGGATTTGCTCTGATATCCCGACAGACCTCCGATATCCCGAGACATGCCCTTAAACCATTCCTCCACCCATTTCATTTATTGGAGTCACCTAACATCCTTCGGATACGCAACTCCGTGTTACGGGAATGGGTTCTGGGGAACCCAACCTGAGCCGTTCTGCTCACGGACAGAGGTGGCTGCGTAGCCATTGAAGGGAGAGCTTGAGATTTGAGACCGGGTGTACTAACGGTAACTTGGCACTCCGAGGAGCGTACCGGCAGCGGGTATAATGGGGGCTCCTTGAGGGAGCCACCTAACAGTTGGCTAGCAGCAACTTGGCGCTCCAAGGAGCGTACCGGCAGCGGGTATAATGGGGACTCCTTGAGGGAGCCATCTAACAGTTGGCTAGCGGTGACTTGGCACTCATGTGAGCGTACCGGTAGTGCGGGTGGTTGGCACTCCTTGAGGGAGTAGCCCAGTGGTTGTCTATCGGTTACTTGGCACTCAAGGGAGCGTACCGGTAGCGGGATTTGTTGGGACAGACAGGTTGGTTGACCAGTGCACGGTAGTGAGTGACCGTGGGAATTTGGGCCTGCGGGTACGTGGCCAGGCATCCTGGGGCTGCCTGGGTCACTTCTCCCTCCCAAGAAGGGAGGAAGGGTTGTAGGACCCAGTAGGGTACTACAGGAAGGATAGGAATAGGAACTCAACCACCCAGTGGAGGGGTGGGAGCGGGAAGAGTGAGGTCCGGTGTCTGAGCACTCACTGGGCCGATGAGGTTTTCTCACAGATTGTAAGAATATCAATGTAGACATCGATATGGACCAATTCAGATGCTACAGAGAAGGCTTACAGTGGTGGCACAATGGTGTAGCAGTTACAATTGCGGTACAAGGTTTTGTGGGTTATGTATTAGATGAAGAAAACCTCTTTCGGCATTTGCCTTTACATGTCATATGACTAGTTTATATCTAATATAAAAGTTGTAATGGTCAAGGGAAGTCCCTTGAAATTCAACAATTCCCCCAGCCAGCACCAAAACCCAGTGGGAAAGCTTGGCATGGGGTTTGGGTAGAGAAATAGGGGAAAACAATAAGGAGGCATACCTGGTTCTACTTGCTTGTAACCATGGACCATAAGATTCTGGTCCATTCCTATAACACTCCGCTTTCGGAGCTACCCGCATCCTTCAGTGATCTCCCTCACGTTATCACTTATTAGTCACCTTCCATTTTTAGCATGACTACCTTCTTCCTACCATTCAGTCGGCCAACCCCCTTTACCCATTTGTCTTCCCCATTCATTTTCCGGCCTCCAACTCCGCCCTCCTTGGCCCGACACCTCGGTTCCCTGTTTTAAATATCGTTCGGGACCTTTCGGTACCTCTCAGTATCATTCGGTACCTTTCGGTGTTGTCCCATTTGTCATTTCGGACTTTGACTAAGTCCTCCCCATTCTCCTTTATAAATACCCATAGATTAGAACCTGTAGTCCCTCAGTTCTAATCTCGACTAAAATGCCACCCAAAGTCCCTCTGAGTGATTCCCGTTCCTGTTCTACAAGACACCTCAGACATAAGAAATACAAGGACTAACTGAGACGTAACGGAGGCACAGCGTGTCAGGGCACACCCGCCTGACCCGGTTCCACCCGGGCCCACCTGGGCCCACCTCACCCGCTCACCCGCTCACCCGCTCCCCGCTACCCATCCTTCCTCCCTCTTCCCCTTTCCTCCCTCTTCCCTCTTTCCTCCCTCTTCCCTCTTTCCTCTTTCTCCTTTATTTCACTCTCCCTTTCTGTTTATTCTTTCTATTTACACGGACCACCTTCCCTTGTATCATTGTACTGTTGACCCGTCCGGCTTGGACACCCCGGGCGACTTCCCGCTACGCCCAGCATGCGCGGACGCCCTCGGGATCCCCCGCGGGGATACCCGGATGGCTGCGGCCCTCTCCGTAGATGACGTGGCACCCGTCATGTGACCCAAGCCGCATGTACATAAATGTACCTGAAGTGGGAACTGAAGAAGTAACCTTCTTCTCACGTTTTCCACTTCAGGTAAGTAGTGTAGTTCTTCCTTTTAATAACAATTCACGTTTTCCACTTCAGTCTAAGTGGCCAGGGACTACAGTCCCAGATCGGGCCCGTCAGTACGCGTGCCCGCTTCGTCCCCCGAGAGGGTCCCTCCGCCGGGCGCTACAGCCGGGCCCCCTCCACCCCGGACGCGTCCCTGACACAGCGCTCCCTCCGAGTCGCTGAGGCTGCGTCCTTCTTAGAGCCTCTTGTACCATCCAGCAGAACCGGGCTGTCAGGGCCCGGCCTCGGACTCGGAGGCTCCCTGACCTCAACCCCCATCTGGCCTGTCCTCACACTATGCGGGGCATGAGATGTATAGTAAAAGAAAGGGAATATATACACTTGCCTATGCGGGGCATGAGATGAGAAGAAGGGTAAAGGTCTCATCTCCCCGCATGGTTGCTATATAAAGGAATGGGTCACATGCCCACAACTATACAGCTCCTAGAGTTGTGTAGTGTGACCCGGAGGGAACATCCAGGTGGCAGTGCCCAGTAAGCGTGGGAACGTTGTGGGCGAGTTGCTCGCCCAGAACTGTGGCTGTTCCCACGCTATCCCGTGCGCGCGTGTACACAACACACAAAGGCAACAACAAGGCAACAGTCAAAGAATGAAAGGGGGTAAAGTAGGTGGGGAGTCCGGGGCACCCTAAGGCAGGGTGCTGAACCCTGACACATAGGCTCGAACAGCCCTCAGTTGGTCGCAAATGCTGCCTTCCACTCGTCCCCATCCTTGATCCGGATGTTGTTAAACCCCCAGCGCAAGTCCAGGGCAGAGAAGTATCTGGCATTCCGGAGGCGGGCGAGGATGTCCGAGATGAGTGGGAGTGGGTACGATTTCTTTACAGTGATCTTGTTCAGCTTCCGGTAGTCCTGTACCAAGCGCAGTGATCCATCTTTCTTCTTGACAAAGAAGACTGGTGCTCCCATCGGAGACTTAGACGGTCGTATCTGCCCGTTCTGCAGGTTCTCGTGCAGGAACTCGTCCAGTTCTTTCTGCTCTGGGCGCGAGAGGGGGAAGGTCTTTCCTCTGGGCAGTTTGGCGTCTGGTACCAGATCTATAGCATGATCCCAGGGCTTCCGGGGGGGCAACTGGTCGAAGGCTTCTTTCGAGAACACGTCCCGGAAGTCCTGGTAGTGCTCCGGCACCAGCATCTCGAACGATGCGGGCTCTGCGTCCGGGTCATGGGCCTCCTGGGCCATCCGCTGAGAGGGGGTCGTGGTGGCCCTCAGGTCATGTCCCCAGCCGGGGGGGATGATTGCAGTGTAGATCCCATCCCCCGGCTCTAGTGCAGGGTCCTGGTCATCTCGTGCTCGCGGTTGTCTACAGGCAGACAGGCAATGGGACATGATGACTTTCTGTTGTGCCCAGTCTACCTCTGGGTTGTGGTGTAGCAGCCACGAGTGCCCTATGATGAGGGACTGTCGTCCCAGGTTTGCAACCGCGAAGCGGGCACACTCTGTGTGCTGCCCGAATGTCAGGAGGGCTTCCAGCTCTTCGGTTATGGCTCCATTCTCATTTGGGGTTCTGTCAATGTTACGGACAGGAATGGGTTGCGGGAGAGGGGTTGTCTCGAGCTTGTGCTTCCGGACGAACTCAGGGCTCACGAAGTTCCTGGTGGCTCCTGAATCTAGGAGGGCTGATACCGACACTGATGCGAGGGAGGTCAGGGTGGTTAGTTTCACCATAAGGTTGAGGGATCTGGGGGATTGCTTGGAGAGGACATAGATGGCTGGCAGGGATACTGCCACTTCAGGTGTTGCCTCTATGGTTCTCTTACTCTCACAGGTTGAGGATGCGTTTTTTCTCCTCTTCTTTGCAATAACTCGGTGAAGTTTTGGCATTGGTGTTGACTCACACATGCTGCGGTATTTACATGAGCTATCTTCTACGGGCAGCCAGGACGCATCCCTCACCGGTCGCCTCACAATTGACAGGGGTCGAGTTGGCGGGAGCATGGGTTTGGGTGGGAACGCGCGCGGTTGAGTGGCTTGGAATCGTCGCCATTGGTTGTCCAAGAGTGTGGCTTTGCGCTTCCACTTGGCCCAAGTAGTGGGCATGGGACGGAGCCGGTATATGCTCTCCCGGAGGTGGGAGTTGATCGCCTGCTCGAAGTGGTCGACCAGTCCTACGTCACCCAGCCTTGAGGCAGGTCCCAATATCTCGAACTCTTGGATTACTTTATCCACAGAGTCACTTCCCTGGCGGATGGCTGCCAGCTTGTGTCTGGCTGTGGCCTCCTGGTTCGGGTCCTGGAACATGGCATCGAGTTCTGTGTTGATGTCATATCCATACAATCCCGACCTCCGCTCCGGGCTCCCGGAACTCTGAACTCCGACTTCCGGAGCCCTACTTCCCTTCCGTCACCTTCTCCTTGCCGACTCCCAAGAGGTTATCCCACCTCCGGCTCGGACACCACCTTCGGTCCGACTCCGGAACATTCCGGGTCCGACCCCAACCTCGACACCTTCCAGACGAGTACGCAAAACCTGTGCTCCCGACTCCGGACCTCCGCTCCGACATCCCGTTCACATCTCATCTCCGGAACCTCCGGTCTTAGCTCCGACCTCGGACTTTGACCCCACCTCCGCTTATACCCATTGTATTGGTTAGCTCATTCCATTTAATTACGTTTGCCAATATTCCGGAGTTTGACCTCCGAGTTCGGACTTTCCGGACTTACTCCGGACCTTGCAACTATTGCATTGTCCATTTCAATTCCGCTATTCTCCCTCATTCCTATTTGGGCTGCTGCTTCCTTCTATTCAGTCAGCTAGCCATTCCCGACTCCCATCCTCCTTCCTTCCTCCTTGGGCCTTGGCCCTTCATTCCTCCTTTGGGAAACACCATTGAGTCAAACACTTGACCCTCGGTGTTGTTCCTCTTTCCATCTCCCTTTGTCTCCCCTCGTCCTACCCTTGTTCCTTTTGATTCCGGACCCCTCCTTATATACAATGTACCTAGTAACTTGTAACCTCAGTCCGAAATCGACTTGAATCCCCCCAAGAGACTTTCCCTCTGCTAGATCCGAAATTAGGGACCCCTAGGACAACCAGCAATGGCACAGCGCTCCACATGAGTCGCTGAGGCCAAGG